CCCCCGCCGCTCGTCCCCGCCGCGGCCGCGCCGCCTGCAGCAGCAGCAGCAGCAGCAGCTGCTCCTCCCCGGCGGCCGCCCCCCGCGGGTCCCTCCCTGGCTGCGGGAGAGACAGAGGTAGAGGGAGGACACAGCGCCGCGCCGCCCGCACCGGAGACCTTCGCCTCGCCCTGCTGGCTCCTCACCCTCTGGGAGGAACATGGGTAAGTCATCCTTCCTCCCCCGTCATCGCCTGACATTTTTCTCTTTCTCGGCGTGTTGCAGGGTGGGAAGCCTTCCTCGCGCAAAGTTGCCAGATTTCTCAAATCCACGGGTGTAATACAGTGGCTCTTCCTCCGGGGAGAGTCGGCGCACGCGGAACGCACGCCGGTCCCCGGGCTGGGAGGGTCCCGAGCGCGGGGTGGGGTCGGGCCGCGGCTCTCGGGCACCTCGCTGCCTCGCCTCCCCTCCTCCATTCTTCCTGCCCGAGCGGGTGCCCGGGCACCGCGGAGCCTGCCTCGCGGGCTAGCCTCCTCTGCCTGCCCCATCCCCGTTTCTCCGGAGGCCGCCCGCTTCCTTTCCCCGGCGTCTGCTGGGCTGGAGGCTCGGTCGGACCGCCAGAGAGACCACTTCGCCTAACTTCCCTGTCAGGGCGACCTTTCCCCATCTTGGGGACTGTTCATCCCGAGGCGGGGAAGTGCGAGCAAGTAGTTTGTCAGGGCGATTGTACAACGTGCACGGAAATTATTTTTGATGGGGGAGAGCGGACAGCCTCATGGGTTGAAAGGATGACTTGTCAGAGGCCACGAGGAACGTGAGGAAGGATGCATAGAGCCGCTAGCTGTTGAATTAGTGTTGGGTGACTACAGTGTGCAATATTCCTGTGCTCAGCCCATTTTCTTGGTTCCTTCGCCTGTCTACTGTAGGAGGAAACGCACCCTGTAACGTTACCGAACTTACGTGTTAGTTATTCGTTCCCAGCTTAGCCTGCCTACATCTACATAATCTGATTTTAGTTCCTTTGTATGTCTGGTTAATCTCAAGAGATTGTTTTGGATGAGATATTTAAAAGCAAATATATTTTCTAAAACTGCATGTAATTTATCTTAAAATTTTTTCATAACATATTGCTTAAATACTAAGTTCAGTAATTACAAAAACGTCTGATTAATTCTGCAATTATTTTTTTTAATAGTAGCATTTCGGAATAGCATACTGCTACATGTTCCCAGTTTGCTTCCACTGTTATCACAGTTTCCTCTTTTTAAAATTTGCTCCATTGGCATCTGTCAACTCGGATTCTCCTACCCCTTCCGTGCAGGTTATTTTAAGCCTAAAATGAGTGTGGTTCTTTGATCTGTCAATACAGTGCTCAACACAACTAGAGTTAGGTCGTGGCAACTCAGAATCTTCAAGGAAGTATCTAAATCTAGAAATGGTGTCGATGGAGCTTACTGGGAAAGCAAATGCTCCAAGCTCTGTTTCAGACTTTTGAGGCTAGTGTTGCAGGAGGTGATATGAATGAAAAATGAATCGGGCCCTGAATTTTGTTTTCAGTTCAGTTTTTCTCCCCCTTTTGATGTGCTATTGACATGGTGAACAAATTTATGTAGAAATGGGTGGCTCATAGGTACTTAGCTTTTCTCTAGGAGTACAAATTTAAATAAATATTAATTCAGATTATCGGACACATTGTGAATTTTCCTTGAACATTCAAAAATTTACTCCTAATTGTAGGTCACAAGTTTCTCCTGTAAAATACATTTGCCCATGTTTCAAGGTGAGCTACAAAATCCATTTAAATAAAATTTTAACTTCCATGTTGAGTAAGAATCTTTTCAGTAGAAAAAATTCAGTTATGTTGCAATACTTATGAATAAAAACACTTAAAACAAAATTATTTACTTAAAAATAATTAATCTTCAAAATCTTGAATGTTATTGCTTGATTTCAAAGAATGGCCAGATAGAAACCTCTTATTTGGAACCTCTCAGATACTCTTTGATTAAATCAGTCTCCCATAGCACTCTGTACCTTGTTGGAGGCTTTTTAGTACTTACATAATCTGCCTTATAATGGAGTTGTTTATGTGTGTGTGTGGTTACCATTTAGTCATGAGTTCCAAAAGATGAAAATTATGTCTTATTGATTTTTGTGTATCCCCCCACCCCTCCGTGCTTTCCACATAGTAGATATTCAATAAATCTTTGGTGAATTCATTGTTGAACTTAAAACCTACCTATTATTTTCGGTTTGTGAACCTAAAAGTATGGGCTGTGAACAAACATTCAAGTTGGTAGACTATCATGGAGGCTTGGAGGAAATGGGAACAGAGAAGTATAATTTTACTATGACTACTCTTCTCTCACTAAAAAAAAACAAAGAAAAGAAAAAGAAAGTTGGGTCTTCTCAGAGCTAAAGGTTTTGGAATAGCCTCCAGGCTAGCCATTTCCTTCTGCACTACTGTTTTCAATGGTAAGGTGGTTTATCGGATGATCACTAGATACATACAATAATGTAAAATTGAAACCGTGGAAAGCAATTTCATATTCTGAACCAAGGAAGTTATAACAATTCATGTATACATAAAAGGTATCTTGATTAATGGTAGGAAAAAAATCACTTTTTAAGGCCGTCTGAAGAAATAAATAAGGTGATTTAAAAAAAAAATTAATGTTTGTTTGTTTTTGAGAAAGAAACAGAGTACGAGTGGGGGAGGGGCAGAGGGCAAGGGAGACACAGAATCTGAAGCAGGCTCCAGGCTCTGAGCTGTCAGCACAGAGCCCGATGTGGGGTTTGAACTCACAAACTGCGAGATCATGACCTTAGCTGAAGTTGGATGCTTAACCGACTGAGCCATCCAAGGCGCTCCATAAATAAGGTGATTTTTAATAATCTCATGGCAGTGATTTTTCCCTGTAAGAAAGTGAAAGAAACTTCCTATAGAATGTTATGGGTGATGGCTATTATTTAATGTATATATTTTATTATAAATTCAACATGTACTTAATATTTATTGAATATCAACCACGTACACTGTACTGTGGGAGGAAAGAGAGGAATAAGACATTCATATTTCAAGCTGCATATAATATTAACAGGAATGAGATGGTACATACACAGCTATAACAGAAATAAAGTATAAGTGATATAAAATAACTTTACATTTACATGTGTTGTAGATTCAGGGCATGGAGAAAAGGTTTTAGAAAAATGATGTTATTTGAAACAAAAAAAGTTGGTTAAGCTTCTGAAAGTTAAAAATGAATGGAGACGGTTAATCAGGCTGGGGGTTGGGAGGAGAGAAATGGCATAAGTGAAGTTAGAGAGGGAACACTCAAGGAGTTTCAGGATATGGTTAAATAACCATGTTTGGTTGGAGCAAAAGGTAAGGTAAGAGTGTGTGTCACCTTCCTCAGTACTAATGGGTAAAGACCAGATAATGGAGGACCTTAAATGACAAGTTGAAAAAGTTTTTGGACTTTGACTTGTCTATTGAGGGACTGTGAAATGTTTTTCTGTAGTTAAGTGACGGATCAAGTCTGTGGTTTAGGAAAATTAATCTGTCAATTGAGTCAAGGATGAATTAGATCAAAAAATAGAGAACACTTCAGAGGGTGGTTGTTGCAGTGTGGGTGAAAATATTTACTGGTCTGAACTTGGCTGTGGCAATGGGAAGAGAATACTGCAAATAAAGAACAGAATTTCCTTGCTAACCTATTGAATATGGAATTGAGAAAGGAGTCATACATTGTCACCTGGGCAATAGAGAGATGTAAAATTATTAATATATATTTAATCCACTGGAAGAGGAAATGTGAATCGTTAGTTTTGGACCTGGTGAATTGGACTGTTTAGTTTGCCATTTAGATTCTCTGTTCATTGATGACAGGGATTCTTATAATAGGTTTTGAATACATTTCTAACACTAGTGTCTGACACATAGTAGCCATGCAGTAACCATTTGTTGACTGACTGAAACTAGGTAAAAAAAAATATTTAACAAACAGTTATTTTAACTCTTAAGAGAGGATTTTGAACTAGAGATCTGGAAGTTACCCATAAATCTCCTGAGATGATATTTCAAGTTAGGTAGGAGGCCGAGAGACAACAGAGAGAAAGAAAAAATTTGTCCAAAGAATCTTGAAGAATGACCCATTGTTAGGGAAGTGGAATGGAATGATTTGACACTGGAAGGGACGTAGGAGTGAAAGACTAGAATCTGCATATGGTTGGTTTCATGAAAGAATGGTCAATAATGTCTTTTGCTTCAGACCAGTGATAAGGACTGAGAAAAGGATCTTTGTTGATGTAGTTTGCTTAGGATATTACTCAGTATATTTTCTAAAAAGCAGCTTTAAGAGGTATGCTAGAAATGGAGGTCAGTTGTAGAGGCTAACTGGATAATGAGTAAGTGGAACTAAGAATTCCCAATGTATTCATGCTATATCCCTTGACCTATTTAAAGATCTGTAAGTAAGCATAGGTTTTTAAAAACATTTTTAAAATGTTGCACTTTACATGGAATGACACATGCTATTTTCTTGCCTGAGAATAATTTGTTATCTCACCATAGTGCTTCAAAATTTCTTTGACATTCCATTTTTTATGTCATTGTGTGTTAATACAGTATGCTTTTTATGTTTGCAATATCTGTCATACAGAGTGAGCTTAGAAATGGTTTTATAATTTCACATGACATTTTACATAAAGTGTACTCTTCACTGATGAATGGTTTTATCACTTTTTATTTACTATTAGTCTTTGTGAATTTTGGATTTCTCTAGTTGTATGTATGCCTCTAATTATACTCTTAATTCCTGGAGTTTTGTTTTTCTCTATAAATTTGTGTTAGCTTTAGATGTAAGTCTTTTTTTTTTTTTTTTTTTTTTTTTTTTTTTTTTTTTTTTTTCTCTTGTATTTCTAAGTCCAGGAATGGTTTCATAGATAAATAGTAAAAAATAGTACTTTTACTTGTTCTTTGCAGAGTGATAAAAATCTTTGTAAACTGATAATCACTAAAATTTATTATTTTAAAAGAGATTGACTAGTTCAATAATTTTTCTTATGTTGCCATTATATCTATGTTGTATATGTCTTTTTTTTTTTTTTTTTTTTTTTTTTTTTTTTACTTATAGGAGAATTGAAATCATTAACTTTGGTAGAGTCATAGTCTATCTAGTACTATGATTTGGGAGGTTTTAATAACCCTAATTCATTTTGT